TCGCATAGCTATGCCTGCCGCGTGCACCACCACAGCCTGGGCACCCGCAGCCTCCTCATCCCATGGGGTAGGTGCCACCCATGGGGACAGGGATGGGTTCCCTGAGCTGCCCTGCCCTGCTGGCTGGAGCAAAGCCAGGAAAGCTCATGGCAGCCTCTGCTCATGTTTCTCAGGGAACTCAGAGGTGGTGCTGATCGCAGGGCTGGCAGCCGTGGCCATGGCTGCCATCATGGCATTTTTGGTGTGGAGACGCAGGTGAGGCTCCTTCTTCCCTGCAAAGCAGCAGTGGGAGAGGAGGGGAGGAAATGCCCCAGGGGATTGTTGCACTTAGCAGCAAAGCACCTGCTCTGGCCCTGCCAGATGCTGCCTGCATCCCCACAAGGTCTCTTCCATGGAGTACCCATGAACCATCCCCCTCTCATTTCAGAAAGCATGAGCAGATGGGAGAATCAGAGTCCAGGAACTCCATCTTGAGCAAAGAAGCTTAGCCTGCAAAGGAGCCAACAGCTCCTGTTTCCTTCCACCACTGTCACAGGGACAAAAACTCTACCTTTTTCTGCTTTGACAAAATTCTGGGCACTGCTGAGTGCGAGATCAACTCGACTCAGAGGTGCAGGAGGGAAACTTGGGGGTGCTCCTGACCCGCTTCAATTTGCTAAGCAAAGGATGCAAATCTGAGACCTCCTCACTCGTTACACACATTCACGTCTTACCTCATGGCACTGCCCCATACACCCACTGAGGCTCTTTAGGGCACCCCAATGTCCAGTTGCAATTTCTGCCAGTTCTGGTACAATAACACATTTCTCAGTAGGCGGTAAGCTGTGCCCTTCTACTGTCACTTTCTAGTACTTTTTTCCTAAGAGCTGCCTTTATTAACCGTATTCCAGAAATATTTGTGTTGAGACTCAACTGTCCCACACAGACTAAAAGCACCTGGCCAGAAACCTTTTTACAAAGTGCTGACTAACACTGAAACTCTGATGTAATCTGTGGGACCTGCAGATGTGTATAAAATTAAATTAAAGCATTCATGTTTTCACTAAGAACACGTGCCTTTCTTCAGAATTTGGATGGGCTTGGGGAGGATTTGACCAGCTGCAAATGGAAGCTGGAACACCACTGAATTATTGGTGCTAATTGCAGAAAACACCAAAGCAAGGGGAAAAAAAGTAAAAGTGTGTTTCTGTATATACAAACATGTTCTTATGGATTTCATGGAAATAAGCAACGGTGCACATGGGGGTGAAGTGCCCCCAAACCTCCCAATTAAGGAGAAAAAGGAAGACAATCTTCTCCCATTGGAGACAGTGGAGTTCAGACAGGCACAGGAAGGAATTTAGTTTGTGCTCCCAATCAACCACACACTTGAACTTGCGGCTTCAAAAGGTTTGGTTTCACAGGAAAACTTCCTGGCAAAGTTTCACAGGATAAGTCTCTGGCAGCCATGTGCAAGTCAACTATCAGCTGAGTCAGAAGAAAACCCAACTGGCCTGTTGCCACATCCACCACAACTGCACTAGGGCTGCCTCTCCCCTGGCCAAACCCTGTGAACCGCAGTGCTGTGGGCAGGACTGAATTTACCTGTCAGCCAGAGTCACCTGCTGGCACTGCAGGGCTCAAGGATCTCGCTGTAGGAGGAGTGATGCTGAGTCTCTCCCAGCCCTTGCTGAGCTAGCACAGACAGATAAAACTTCCAGCTGCACACAGGGCTCACCTCGGGGCTGGGAGCCTGCAGCCTCAGCACACAAGGCAATTCATCTCCTGAATGGAGTAAAACACCCTGCAGCACCCACTGGACATGGCAGGATGAAGCTTACCCACCAAACTGGGAGAGCAGATGCAGCCAGTGAGCAAACCTGGTAAGAAAAGGTGGTCATGTGTCGTAAGAAATCCTAGAGTAAAACACACAAACACCTAATACCAGGGAGGTGTCTGCAAGTGTTTGTTCAAAGCCCCCAAGAGACCCCATGATAACACACACAACAAACACCCAGGTGCAGCTCTGGGCTTGGGGGGGTAACAGCCCTCACGTGAGGGGACTATAAGGACCAACGTTACCTGTGGGGCCTGAGAGGACCAATGGTCACATGAGGTGGAACTGCAAAGTCCTGCAGGGGAGGACAGGGAGGACCAGTGGTCACCTGGGAGAACTGTAAGAACAATGTCACCTGAGGGGACTGTGGGGACCAACGGTCTGTGTGGATGAAGAGCCCCCTGCCCCCTATGGTCATTTGCTAACCAAAGGAAGTGACTATATCAAGGAGGAAAAAGTTGTGACCTCTGCTACAGCAAGTAAGAAAGTGAAAAAAAAAACAAAAAAACATGATGACAAGTACATTCAATAGAGATGAGGAAGAGTTAAAGCAGAACTTCTGGTCCACTGCAACAGTGGGAGACATCTGGAGAAAATTTAGAGGGGGCTGAGCATATCATAAGCACCTGCAAAGC